GGCACCCACTAAGCCTCTCTCCTGATGCGGTACCCCAACTAAACCCTATCAACTGGATGGGGGAAGACCCAAAACAAGATGGAGAAATCAAGTCTTAGGAGACATAAAGAAGCTGAGAATCCACAATTGGAAGGAGCGCTGTAAGGACCGGAAAGAATGGAGGAAAATTGTAGACAGGGCCAAGTCACACACGCTGCTATAATAATAAAAAAAAAACAACAGCGGATTGATTATCCGCAATAAATGAATCAGAGAGCCCAAAAGGGCGGCAAACACTCCGCCAGGTGTGAATAAGTCATGATGATGATGATTTTATCATAATAAACATAGGTTAGGATATGAGACATAAGATAGGATATTAGGATTGTATATGGTTATCAATATACATTTATGTTTAGCATTTTACTAAAATTAGGTTTTGTAATAGTAAGTTAGTTATAATAGTAAGCCCATAAAGTAGTAATAAGCCATGGAATAAGAGAATATTACATTTTGTGCATACTATTTGGTATAATTGTAATATTTTGCTATAAAGATCTAGGGGGCCCTTCTTTGGTCGCTAATTTTTTAGTGCGGCGATGCGATGGGATGGATTCATTTGACATGGTTTTTAGCTAGATATTGGATAGTCATAGTTCGTATGCTGCAAGGTAGGCAGACCAGTGTCACGGTTGATTTGTACACTCCTCGGAGTGAACAAATCAATCGGAGGCACAAACGAAGCTTCTTCATGTATCTTTGTTCTATATTGTGTGGGAGATTTTTGAATGCAAGTTGGTACATCTGTTTTGAGCAATAGCATGTGGTGTTTGTTGACAACAAACTGTTGACGGTCTCTGCTTTGTTATTGAGTTCAAGATTACGTTTTACTTTAGGTAAACTAATAAAAGTATTCATTTCTGTCATGGAAGGTGTTGGTAGTATTAAAAAGAAACGTAAAATTTATTCTTATGAAAGTGTGAAACGTGAGTGTTCTAAGAAGAGAAAGTGTAACGGAGAATCATACATAAATCGTTCTCAGATTGAGGTTATGGCAAAGGAGTTTTAAATTTTAAGTAGCTGTTGCTTGGACAGTTGCTGTAGTAATATCGATGAAGACTGTCAGTTAAAACTTTACGATACTTTTTATAGTCAATCTAAAGCACTTCAAGATGTCCATTTGGCTAGTTGTATGAAAAAATCTGACAACACAAATGTCAAAACACACCAAAATAAACCTCGTGTCAATGTGTGGTCTTATGTGATTAATATCAATGGTCTACAACTAAAAGTGTGCCAAAAGTTTATTTTATTTTTAAGTTTCAGTGAAACGTGGGACAATTATTCAGTCAAAAATCTTAGAGGGCTTAGACTTTAAAGAGAAACGTGGCTTACATAAAAATCGCCCTCATAAACTGAGGATGTCATTGACTTTATGGAATCTCATTTATCATCTATTCCACATGACAAAAGCCATTATTGTGCAGAGAAAACATCCGTTTTGTATTTTGAAAACCCAGAATTGGGTGTGAACGACCTTTATAGAAGTTTTCAAGAATATTATCAAGACAAGACCGGGCGAAAACTTATAATGTCCTATGTGCATTATTTTAGAAAGTTTAAATCTCATTTCAACTAAGGATTTAGCGCCCCTAAGACAGATGTTTGTGATTTATGTTCTGAAAGTGTGGAGAAACTAAAGCGAAACCCCTTAGACGAGTGTAGAGTCCAGTTCGAACTAGAAAAATAAAGAGGCTCGTTTACCATACGAGCAGTCAAAAACAATTTCATTTAAAACCGAGGTCTTATATTAGCTACACATATGTACAATTCAATTTCATACTTATTTTAGGCTTTTAACCTGATGATGAAATTATTATTCCGAAAACGTTTGTTATTTTGATGTAGCCATTCTAAGGGTTTTTTAAATATACCTACTTACAAAGATTTAAACCTCTTTTTGTGATACATGGTATACAGCCAGCTGCAGGAATTTATTTTCCTTGTGAATTTTGTAAATTGACGGTATGGTCAACTTAGCTCTTCAATACATGCGCTTAGCCACTCAAAGATGTACTCTCAAGTTGGATACATGGTTCATCTCACAATGTATTAACTACAAAGTTTTTACAACCTTTTGTAGAATCAAAACTCCAGGAAATGTTCCAGTCACTTTGAAGAACACCTTCCAACCCAAAATTCTAAAAAAAGGAGATTTGTAACCATTATGGAAACCTTAACTTTCTAAACTGTAAGCTTAAGGTAACATATGACTTTTTACTTGAATCCATAGGCTTCAATAACTTAAGTAACCTTCTGAATGATGTTGAGGACAGAATGGACAGTGTAACCTCTATTAAATTCAGTAAACTTAAATCCAAACTCAATAAACTTATCAGTAATACATCGAATTCGCAAAATATTAACAGTAACAAGAACAACATTAAATTCTCTAATTTTTCATTTCACCCTAGGCAAATCTATCTTTAGTTATTTTTGATAAAAATGAACTTAACTTATTGAATCTAGGTCTCAAATACTCCATTCCGAGGAAGGTTTCTTAAAAGGACCTTCAGAGTCTCTCCATTGAGCTAGATGTTATCTAGATGTTAGAATCTCTCAGTCCCTCTAAATCAAAAAACTTCAAACATAAACTCTTGCTACAAAACTATCTATAAATTTAAAAACAAAAATTGTCCATCATCTTCTACTTTCTTCAATAACTCCACTTCCAATACTCCATCGAATACATCCAATAACTCATTATCCATCAACCTACCCTCTACTTCTCAAAATTACTCATTCAATGTTTCCTTTCCTCAATTATCTGACAAAAAAAAAAAGAAAGACCAACTCCAAATCCTCAAGCCTATCCAAAACAAAATTAAATCTCATAATCTAATAATCAGTAAAGCAGACAAAGGTAATTGTCTAGTCATTCTAGATCAAGTTTATACTACGACAAAGTCACTACATTTCTTTCCGATAATAATTTCACTCTACTCCCCGAAGATTCAATAAAAAAGTTCATCAACAAAATCAAAGCCACCAATAAACTTTTCACAGAATTTCTTCCAGAACACGATGCTCCATATCACAAAATACCTAGCAACCCATTGACACCCATACTGTATGGCTTACCTAAGATACACAAAGAGGGCATTCCCATTCGTCCCGTTGTTAGTTTCATAAGCACTCCAGTTTCCATCTTGTCAAAATTCATATTGAATCTTATTAACAATATGACGAACTTCACCCCTCGCTTTTCAGTCAAAAATACCATTCATCTAGTCAACAATCTCCAACAAATAAATCTCCATCCCAACATCACAATGCTTTCATTCGATGTCAGTAATCTATTTACTTCAGTCCCCAAACAAGAAACTATTAATCTGGTCCACTCTCTTCTACGTGCAAATTCTATCACTATGTCTACCACTAACTTAATTATTTAATTATTACAACTTGTCTAGCTCAAGACTTTTTTTTGTTTTCAATAGTTTTCAAAATTTTACATAACCTGATGGCATAGCCATGGATAGTTGCCTTTCCCCTCTCCTAGCTAATATATTTATGGATCAGTTAGAATCCACACACATTATGGAAAATCCTGAAATTCTCCATTTCTTTCGATATGTTGATGACTGTTTAGTTTTCATATCGGGTAACTCGAATTCATCTGATCTATTACTTTCTAAGATAAATCAAATCCGCCCAAACATAAAGTTCACTATGGAACTAGTCATCTCAATCTATTAACTTTCTTGACCTCACCATTACCAGATTAAACGACCATCTCGATTTCAGTATCTATAAGAAACTTACACAAACCGACCATATCATATCTTTATCTTCCAACCACCCAATATCACATAAATATGCAGCCTTCCACAGTTACATTCACCGCCTAGAAACAATCCCATTATCCCAACCCAACTACCACACCGAACTCAACATTCTAAAGCAAATAGCATCTAACAATGGATACGACCCCAACCTCATTAATAAACTAATCCATAAGAGACAACTTAAATTATTGAGAGAGGCTGCGTTCACCAGATACTTGACCATCAAACCTTATTATGCTTCCTTAACATACCTTCAAGAACGTCTTTCTGGAGATATCAGATATATCTTAAAAAGATCTGTTGAGAATACCCACTTTTCTTTTAAAGTCCTGAACAATCTAGGCCAATGTCTAACTAATTCAAAAGATCCCATCAACTACATGGATCGTAGTGGTGTCTACAAATTACAGTGCTCTGATTGTGATGCTACATATCGTCGGTGATACTGCAATTTGTCGTATGTCACAAATACGGCCATTTTCCGTTTATGTAACCAAATTGCAGTCCTCTACGCCCCTGCAAAATATCGCAGGTGAAAGTTTAACTGTTACCATGATTTTTTATACGTGCAAATATGTCGTAAGTTTTTCTTGACTAAAATGGATACTTCAGTATGGCGTATGTCAGAATCATTCTCTCCGTATGTGGCAACGCCGCACAATTGGATATTTCGATACGGCGTATGTCACTTAAATTGCTCATTAGGTAGTCAACTGTAAACTTAAAAACAGCCGTTAGAAGTGATAAAAGTGAATTTATGTAGGTACATACATACAAAATACATAATATTATATATGGTAAGTTCTTTGTTGTTTTTTGAATTTAATATATTAAAACTTTATATATAGTCCAATTTTTAGTTGAGAAACACAATAATAATTGAAAAAATAAATAGTATAACCTCAATTTTTTTCCATAAATAAATTATTTTAATATTTAGGTTCTTATAATGAGATTTACGTTTTTTTCAAATAATAAAAATGCAAGTAGGTTGTTACTTATTCATTCTCTCTTTAGTGTTATTGATTTACTACACTAATTAGTTGAATAATACTATGCGACATACGACACATTGCATTCAAAATTTAGCTTATTTAGTGTTATTCCTCTTCAAGTTAGGTATTGACATACAACATATTGCATGTTTTATTTTTTCTTTTCAGAGAATCAATAATGTCGAACAGAGCACGGCTGTTGGTGGAATTAGCTTTAAATTCAGCTTCAAGAGCAGACGCCTCTCACCAAGTACCTGAAGACGATAATATCAACATTTTGACATATCAATCGGACGATGCATCAAGTCCTCAAAGAACAGAAAGCACGGTTCCAGAGCCAGTGGAAGATCTATTAGAAAATGCAGAATTGGAAGAGAATCCAGTTTTAACACCCCTGGAAGTGACAGAAATTCCAAAAGAAACATCGCATTCCAAAACCGATATAGCTCCAAAATCATATTATTTGGAACAGAACACAGACAATGATATACCAATAATTGACTATCAAGAAGAAATGACAATAGAAGAAGAAAATATCGATCCATTTCATGAAAGTGACAGTGACAGCGAGTATCTGCCAACAGAAACTGATACTGACTCAGAAAATTTAGTTGGAAACCAAGAGGATCATCAGATACCGGACGCAAGAGCAAAAAAACGCAGGAGTAAAGGGCAAAGAGATCCATCACAGTGGAAACGAGCAAAAAATTCACAAGCCAGACTTAAAGGACATGCGTACATGGGATTTCAGAAAAATAGTGAAGGAACGTACCAGCAGACAGCCTATAAAGGTAGGCGCCAACTAAAGCCATCATGTGGGGGGCACAAAAATGAATCTAAGGGGCCGCAACAAAAATTTGAATGTTCGCAAATTACGAATGAAATGCGTAATCAAATATTTCACTATTTCTGGGAAATTAATTCTTGGGAAGGTAAACAAATTTATGTAAGCAGTCTTGTATTGCACTCTCAGCCCAAACACAGAAGAAGAAACACTGTCGAAGAGGAGTCCCGAAAGAAAACAGGTTTTAAATATTATTTAATAGCTAGAGATAATAAGGAGTCTTCAAAAAAATATCATGTATGCAAAAAAATGTTTTTAGCCACTTTAGGTATTGGCGAAAGATCTGTAAGCGAATGGGTTTCAAAGAAATGTTTACCAAATAAAGTGCAAGCTATTAGACCAGTTTTAGTAGAGCCACCGCAGGATTCTGAATGCACAAAAAATGTTAATATATTCTTAGACAGCCTGCCTAAAGTTGAATCGCACTACTGTCGAGCATTCAGTAGAAAACTTTATTTGGAACCCACTTGGAACAGTTGCAGACATTTGCATCGTGAGTTTATTAACTACCGTGAACGTCAAAACATAAGATCTTGTTCTTGGAGACTTTTCTTTCGAACTTGACTTTCAAGACAAAAAATCTTGAAATTTACACTCCTCGTAAGGACCAGTGCAACACATGTGTGATGTTTAAGAAGGGAAATTTAAGTCAATCAGATTATGATAGACATGTTGCCAAGAAAGAACAGGCACGCTCAGAAAAAGAACAAGACAAACAAAAAGCTATCTCGTCAGAGGCAGAAAACTTAAGTTATGTCTACACTATGGACTTACAAGCCGTTCTTCTTTGTCCATATACCCAAGCCTCTGCCATGTACTATAAACAAAAACTGAAGGTTCACAAACAAACATTTTTTAATCTTAATAACAAAGATGTGGCTTGTTATTTATGGCAGGAGGGAAATGGAGGTTTAGATACCGATGTGTTTGTTTACATTTTAGTGAAGTTTCTTAATGAAGAGATAGAAAGACACAACTCGAAGACAATAGTCCTATGGAGCGACGGTTGTACGTACCAAAACAGAAATGTAAATATGTCAAATGATTTGCTGGAGATAGCTACGGAGAAAAATATTATTATAGAACAAAAGTACCTAGAGGTAGGACATACCCAGATGGAGGTGGATTCGGTCCATAGTGTGATTGAGAGAAAGTTAGGAAGAAAAAATGATATTGCTGTTCCCGCTGATTATACTAAAGTTATAAAGCGGCCAGGCGAAACCCATCCCCTTACAAAGTAGTGTCTTTGCATTACAGCGATTTTTTACAATACAGCAAAGGAATGTACACACAAATTCGACCTGGAAGCCAAAAAGGTGATCCTTGTGTCACAGATATTGGTGCATTGCAATATCTTCCTCAAGGACTGATAAAATACAAAATCAATTTTACTGATGAATGGCTCGAACTGCCACGAAGACCAAGTCGTACTAGAACGTCTATAATTCACGAACCCTTATATTTATCGCCACGCCCAATTGAGGATTCAAAATTCTTACATCTTCAACAATTAAAATCTGTTATAGAATCAGATTATCATGCAATATATGATAATTTAAAACATACCTGTTTGTCTCTCCAAGTCTGTTCACATATAAAAAATTAATGTGTATGATATTTTCTTCTTTCCAGTTTATTAGTTTAGAATTTTTAGTTTTGTTCTCCGCCATTTAAATAAAATAAACAAAAGGTTTGAAAAGAATTAATTGTTTTTCTGAGGTGTACATGCATTACAAAATTGTCGTATGTGACATAAAATATTTCAACTTTCAATGTAATATGTCATATGTAACGGCATTTTGCTTAACATTACACTGACCAAAAAATCGTGTTCCTGTACTAATACCCAAATAAAACGATACATCATACACAAATAATCGCATTTTCAAATTTAAAAATGGTCGACGAGAAGAGTTTTTTGTCTCTCCTGAAATATTACCTCATTCCGACATACAACATATTGCAGTATCACCGACGATACATAGGTAGAACCTGTAGATCAATAGATTTCTTTTCCCTAGAACACACTAAAAGAGGGAACACTTCCACTTTCTCACATCTCACACAACAGAAACATACCCTGAACATCTCAGAAGACGTCTCCTTGTTACATAATATTCCTTTTCAGAAAAAAACTAGGATAGTTACTGAGTATCTTGACGAGGTTCAAATCACACGATTTGTTTGGCCTGCTCGCAGTCCAGATATCAATCCCATAAAACATGTTTGGGATGAGATGAAGAGACGTTTACGGAATGGCTCGTCGTTTGCAAGCAGTTATCACTGCCAGAGGAGGGAATACTCGCTACTGAAGTTCTTAAAATTTCTTTTTTTCAACAACAAGCACATCAAATTAAAATTGTCCCTTTTCAATATTTAGTATATCAAAGGAAAATTCTTCATTTCCATTATTTTTAATAAACTTTAAACGACAAAAACGTTGTTTTCTTTAAGCAATCCGTTAGTAAACTACGTTACAACCGAAAATAGTTAAATAATAGAATAATAATTTCTAAAATAAATTCAAATTACGGGGTGACCCTAATTTTATGCTCGGTAGTGTAATTCTAATTTCTTGTTTTATAATAGTCATAAATTGACATTTCAAATTTAAAGTCAATGCTAACCTAATGATTATTATAAATAAATATATTATGTACAGGACGTAGTTAGGGATGCTAACGACACTTCGATACTATCGTGTATCGATATCAATTCGAATCGAAGTATCGATACTTTTATCCGATAACTTAGTAGTTTTGGTATCGATACCGGGACAAACAATACTGTCCAGTATCGTATCGAATGGTTTGGCATCGAACGATTCGATACCATATTTCGTGTTTCATCAAGTACGTCAAGTGTCAAGTATCAGTCCAAGTCAAGAGCCAAGGTAACACGAAGACGGCAAAAGTCCAGTTTACAGTTCGAGTAGCCGAGGCGTGGTCGTCGAGGTCTTATTGTTTTGTTTTATAAATATAAACTTATAAACACCACGTGGTGACGTTGTCTGTGAATATAAAATATTTGATAAATATTGTATAACTCAGTGTTTTTATTCATAAATATTGTATCACTCAGTTTGTGGTGAATTCTAATTTTTTTAGATCTACCATATCAGTTGTTACATTTTAAAGATGCCACCACCAAAAAGTAATGTGTGGATATATTTTGAAAAGGTTGGACCTACATCAGCGAAATGTAAAGTTTGTTTATAAATTTATAAGACGTCTGGAAATACCTCTATTTGGCAAAACATCTGCAATACAAACATTCAACCACTATAAATAAATCAGAGAAAGTTAAGGCATTTCACAGGTAAAAATTACAGTACTTATTGCTAAAATAACAAAACTAATATTTTTTTTCTATTTAGTTCTGACTATAAAGAATCAACACCGGCAACTCCTGAAACCAATTACCAAATTTCTGAGCCTTCTATAAGTGCATTTCATAAAATTCAAGGAAACCGGGGACGGTAAATACAAGTTAAATCTTAAAATATTTGTTATGTATAGCTTCCTACTCACTTTATACTACTCTAAAAATTGAGGATTCTTTATTTTAATGCACATTTTTTCTATAATTCTCGTTTAAAAATTGCGTGTTTTGACATCAATTTTCAAATATTTCGTCGTCACTTTTACACCAATTTCCAAAAAATACTGTTTCTTGCAAAATTTTGTAAAAGTATAAATATGTATAAGAAAATTTTATTTTGTAAAAAAGAAAATATTTTGTTTTTCGTCAGTTATTAACTTGTTTATATGGCAGTTTAGATTGCGTTGAGTTAGGTTTGATCAAGTTATACTTTGTCATTAAGATATGTTAAGAAGATATGCGCGTTTCATCGCTACCGAGAAAAAAGAAAATATTTTGTTTTTCATCAGTTATTAACTTGTTTAGATTGCGTTGACTTAGTTTTGATCAGGTTATGTTTTGTCATTATGTTAAGAAGATATGCGCGTTTTATCGCTACCGAGAAAAAAGAAAATATTTTGTTTAGATTGCGTTGAGAGTTTAGATTGCATTTTGTCATTAAAATATTATGTTAGGAAGGTTGGTGAGTTGTATCACTAGAAGGGGTCCAGACAGGGGAGAAATACCGGTTCAATGTCGGCCTTACCACCCTCTTCGATTTATAAAACAAATAGGTCTGTTCAATTTCCAGTTTTCAAGCAACTTTTGGTTTCCTGTTTGCAGTGTTGTCGACAAATTGAGTAAGTATGTTTTTATTTCGCACTTCATTAAATATTATTTTTATTTCGTATTTCATCATATATATGCTAGCTTGTTTTTTGCTATATACTATTTAAACTAACTTACTCTAATCAAGCTATGCTAGCTTGATTAGATTGGATTAGTTTAAGTGTTATCAAAGAATATAGAGGCATATTGGTGTTATTTTCTTTTTGCTATTCATTAACGAGAATAAAGTGTGTCGAACTTTGGCAACAGTGTGACAACTGCAATAACAGCTTTTTGCGTGTTGTTGCCAAATCAATTTTAAATATAAAATAAATATATTAAAATAGTATTAATATTTTATTTCTACGTGTTTCTTGAATACCACGTAATAAATAATATTTATAAAAATATTTAAACTTGACAACATTCTAATCAACCCTCTGGACTATTCCAAAAATTTTAGGTAGGTCTTTATACACAATTTGTTCTTAGTAAAGTTCAGTTGTGGTTTTTTATAACAAAGAAAATGGCTAGTTGCACATCGTGTGAAATTTCATACAATAATAGTGTTCGCATGGATTGCAGAAATGAAGTAATGAACTTTTTTATACACACGGGGTGTTAAAAAACACTAGAACATGTCCAGTTTGCGGCAGTGTTTTGAACGTGGATGGTGAAGGAAGATTTAGGTGTTACAAGCGTATCAGCAAACATAAAAAAACGCTGTGGTTTCTCTGCATCGGCAAGGAAGGGTACTTTTTTTTGAGTATGCTAAATTGCCGATAGAAAAAATATTTTTGCTGGTAAGTATTTTGTTACATCTACGTCCTCCTAGATATAACTTTATTCGGAACGAGTTGAAAATTGGTGCTCAAACAATTGTAGACTGGTATTCCTTCTCTCGCGAGGTCTTTGTAAGTTGCGCACTGAATAATTCAGAGAAATTGGGAAGGAAGGACATAGTGGTTGAAATTGATGAGTGCAAATTTGGCCGGAGAAAATACAATAGAGGTCGGTTGTACACCGGTCAATGGATTTTTGGTGGTGTAGAACGGAACTCCAAGAAATTCTTTTTAATACCGGTTGAAAAAAGGGATAAAGACACTTTGCTTGGACTGATTAACGAATGGATTCTTCCTGGGACAACAATTTATAGCGATTGTTGGAAAGCTTATGATTGCTTCGCCCATGAAGGATTTATTCATCAAACAGTAAATCATTCGAAGCATTTTGTGGACCCTGAAATTGGTACCCACACCAACAATGTGGGACGGCTTTGGAGGAAAGTTCGGTCTAACATTCCCA